GATGATTGTATGTAATTTGGTTATATCTATAATGACTCTACTGTCATTTTTGCAAGAATCACAATGTATATAAGGCTTATGTATGTGGGAATGAAATTGGCCATCTATTCCCAATATAGACTTGCTCATTTTAATCAATTTAGGCAAATTTATGTGTGTGATGATGGATGATGCTTTAATCACTTATTTTAGCATGTTTAGGAAAGTTAAGAATGAAACCAAGGGTCCTAGGCTTACCAAATTGGTGTTTATGGTCCTCAGTACTCATAATAGGGCAAAAAGAAGCCATTTTTTTACCTACTGGGCAAGCGGGACCAGTAGCCACACTCGTGACCAGTCGCGCTTCATTATGGGAGTCTCGAATATGGGTTACTGCCCAAGCAAGATAGGTTGTGCCACTCACGACCGGTCGCGTTCGCTGACCAGGTCACTATTCTATCACTTTGACTTCAAACAGACATAACTTGCTCATTTTAAATCTAAATGGGGTCAAATTTGTATCCAAATTGACCGTTTTGAAGTCAGATTTTCAATTATATCAATCTCATTCCCAAATTTCAAACATGCAAAGAATTATGCCCATTTTAGTGAGGTATGTTCATGAAACTCCTACACCAGGACTACCAATTTGTAGGAAATTCTTCCTTTAGCCACTAGAACCCTATGCAATGTCTTTAAATGATTAATATGACATGAATAAATCTCATTTAAGTTGTAAGGAGCCAAATTACCTTCCCCCCTTGCCATGAAAGGACCATTTTATCTCTGGTAGGTCCTGTTGTTCGTGTAAGGACCCGAATTTGTATCACCACCCGTTAGTGACTCGGATCCACCGAATTTGGGTCGTTACAATTATGCCAAAAAAAAAAAATTTGTGGGAAAACTTTTTGAAATATTTCAATTTTATTTAAAAGAACAAAATTTGTTGTCTTGCATTAGAAAGCCACAAAGTAGTTCTGTTACATAAATATAATGGTTTTGCGACAAATAACATACTTGCCACAATTAAACTTTTGAAATAAAACTTTAAATACTCTTTATGTGATAAAGTACAAATTTGTTGTAGGGCAAATTATATAAAACCTCCTCTACTTTCAATTTTTGGTAAGAAACCCCTGCAAAAGAAATGTTGTCATAAAACCCCCTAACTATCCAATTTATTGCAAATTGATGTTATTATGATGAAACTGGCCTTAACGGTAAATTTAAGAAAATAGTTTCTCTTAATATAAAATTTAAATTAATACAAATAAATCATTCGGTATAGTGGTGTTCAAAAATTTTCCAAAACTTTCTTTATTGGTGTGTCTATAAGAAAATGAAAATACCTTAGAACAATTTTAAAATTTTCTTACTTTTTTTTATTAAAAAAAATTAAAATGAAAAGAAAACCCTAAAATGAAAATCATTTCAAGACAACCTAAATTTTCTTGAATTTACATTAAGGGGCATTTTTGTATTATAACTTCACTTTAATGGTATGTATGTTTAAATTTTTTTTCTTAAAGTTCTATTTTTAAATATTAAAAAGAAAAAAAAATGAAAATAATTTTAAAATTTATATTAAAGGGCCTTTGCATCATTATAACATCACTTTGTAACAAATTAGATACTTAGGGCATGTTTGGATTGGCTTTTCAAACGTTGATTTTGGCTTTTGGGGTTTAAAAGCTATTTTTAGTAGTATTTGGCTAATTTTTTATAAGAGCTTATGGGCCTTAGAAGAGCGTTTTGGAGAAGCTGGTACCCCCAGCTTTTCTAAAATGCTTTTTTGAAAAACACGGAAGCTGGTGTTATATTTTAATGAAACTTTTAAAATACCAATTATATCCTTTTTTTTACTCAATAAAAAAATGAAATACCAACTGTATCCCTATAAAAGACAACGGTGTTTTCTTCCCAAGCCCTAGGGTTACAAAAGAAACTGAGGAACCTCAAGCTCGAGATCGCCTCTGAATATCTACTCAGTCCCTTGGCAAAATTTTGATGTCCATCTTGCCCTCCTCGCAAAATCAAGCTTCAATATGGTCATCTTCTTCTCTCTCAAAACCCTAATTTTGATCATGGACTCCTTATCTTTTGACAACTGCAACTCAACTCTAACTTTCTCTCCCAAAAACTCAAACCATCCAGATCTAATTCTCAATCTTACGTCGATTTGACCCACAACATTTCAGGTGATAATTCAATTTTCTAGGCTCTTTTCGTTTATTTTTCTTCCTATCTTTCTGGAAATCATTCATGTAAAGTTCTGTTCTTACTTGATTTGTGAATGAAAAACTGTAAAAAATTCAACCCGAAAGATTAAGATTAATTCAGTGAGGTTTCGTCCTTTATTCTCCTGCTCTACAAGCCAGATTGTTTGCTCTCTCAAATTTTGACAGTTTAATTTTAATATAAAAAGCAAACATAATACGAATAATTTTTTGTTGTTGACTCTAAAATTGGGGATTTTGATGGTGATCAATGCACTATTTATTGTTGTTTCTAAATTTAATATTATGATTGAAATAAAAGACAACTATTTGTTAATACCAAATTCTTGTTTCTGTAAGTTTTGGCTCCCCATCAACACCAACAGTCTTGTATGCAATATTGCATATAAGATGTGCCAAAATTGTGGTTTAATGGAAAATAAGAGGATACTTCTATTTTATTTAGCCCTCTAATGCTAAAATTGTGCTTTAATGGAAAATAAGAGGATGTTTTTTTATGTTATTTAAGTCTCTCAATTGTGGTTAGTTCATAAGCATCAAAAAATACTTCACGTAAATGTAAGGGTACAATAGTTATTTTTATAGTAAAAGAGATTCACCAAATGTTTTTCCAACCACACAAAAAAAATCTTTTGGCGTTCAAAGATCTTTTAAAATATAATTTCTAGACACCGACAAATAAGCTAAATGGAAGAGATTGCTTCCGCTTCTCTTCTTTTACTATCTAAACGCAGAAGCAAAAGTTATGCCAAACAAGCCTTTAGGTTATGTTAACTTTTTTCTTCAGGGAGTTTCTTGCCAAAATTTAAAAGTAAAGGGGCTTTTATGAAATTTTCCCTTTGCAGTAAGTTCAGAACTGCAAAATTATTTGCAATATAGTTTTTGTGTAGTTTGCTAATAATTCAACTTTTTGTACAAATCATATTTTTGTTGCCAAATCCGGTTCTTGAAATTATGCCTGAGATTTTGCACAATATATTTTGTCGCCTAAACTAGCACATTATGCGACAAATGTGTATTTTTAAACAGCATTGATGCACAAATTCAATATTCCGTCCCATTCTTTTGCAACAAATTTTGTTCGAGCATATCAAACCAGAATGTAATAAATAATGATAAAAAAATTCAAAAGTTATTCCCAAATCCTTCACCGAGCATGTGGCCAAACACGTCAGATACTTGTAAAATAATTAAAAAGAAAATTGAAGATCATGGAAAGAGGAAGTTGGAAAGATGGTGGATTGTTGGGTTGAAGCCATTCGTTCTGTTTGGCCTCTCACCATCCCTATGGGTAGAAATATAAAAGCTTTCTTGTTCTTCAATTCACATTCTTCTTCAATTTCTTCTTTCTTACATGGCTATTAGGAGCTAGGTATTCTTTCCCAAATGATGATTCAGTGCCGATGGCAAATCATTATTAGTTTTTGTGCGCATCAAATGTTTAGGCTCTTGTCAATTCGGAAATAAAAGATGGTGAAAATCTTTGGATAACTTTTAAGTGGAAAGAAAAGAAAGGATTATAATCCTTTAAAATCATTCATATCTTATCCTCTAAACAATGAGAAGATTTGGAGGTAAATAATAATGAGTTAGTATTATTTTTATAAATCCAAAATTACCCTCTTAAAATATTTAACTCTCATCTTATAACATTTTATAAAAAAATTATGATAATAATTTAATTCTTATCCTTTCTCCTCTTTTTCCAAACAAAAATACTGCCATTTTCTTTCTTCTCTCTTATAATTTATCCAAACATGAATAAAAAGTATTGCTATCATTTTATTTTATTTTATTTCTTTTCTCTTATAATTAATGTTATCATATCATTTATTTTCTCCCATGTTTATCCAAACGAAACCTTAATAGTCGAAGGAAAGGAAAAATAGATGGAAGAGAGAGGAAGGATGAAAGATGCATCCGCAGGAAAAGAATGTGTATTCTTCATTTTTTGTGTGATTGAATCAAATAGTATAGAAAGGATGGATGGAGTGACGTTATTTTTATTTTTATTTTTATTTTTATTTTTATTTTTATTTTTTTGTTCAGTTGAAAGGAAATGAATGATAATTTTTATATTCATTTTACTGGTAAACATCCATTTTAATTTTTTTGGAAATGTTAAAATTACAAATTAAATATTTGTAATAGTTATCCCTTTTTCTCTCCTCTCATCCCTCCATCCTTCCCTTCTCTTCCCTTCCTTTCAAACCAAACACAAAAAGATTCATTCATCATTCCTCTCATCAATCCTTCCTCATAAAGAATCTAACATGGCGTGCTCGGTGAAAATTTTGGGTGTCATGGTTCGGTTTCCCTATCATTACTCAAATGTAATATATAGTGCTGCACAAACAGAGCTTATATACCATGTAACCTCTCCCGGACATCAATCACTTCAACAATGGACCATCAATGAGCATTGTAATAGATTTCTTATTCGGTCAAATTATTTTATGCAGGCAAGATTTGAAACTAGTTTGAAGTTGAACCATATAGCCCTAGTTTGAAGTTGAACAATAAAACCTGACCCAAGCCAATTCAGGTTGCCTCACAATCCACTTGCAAACACACAGTCAAATAATCATTCTACCTATAAAATTATTCATCAATAAGATGGCGAACAGAACTGCACAGCTTATGAACATGAACAAGGGTGAATTATTACTTAATACCCAACACGAGCCTGTCAATGTTTCAGAGACCATTTATTAGAATCAACAAAATAATGGGAAACCGAGAAAAAAGAAACAAAGCCAAGTATGGCAGAAAACGAACAAAAACTTATGAAAAATAACATGATATAAAAGTCGAGGGGGAAGAGATTAGAAATTTATAATAAATACAGAATAGTTAGAAAGAAAAAAGCATGAGGAAAAATGAACCTGCCAGGAAGACTAAATTTGGGTCAATCATAAGGGAACAACGCTGTACAATTGCAACAAAATTTTATGATGCCCAGTCAGTCGTATGACAGCTCTCTTCTCCCCTAACCGCAGTGATGGCCCCTTCTGAGTGCCGAGAAGAATCCACCAATTGATTTTTCCTTTCCGTCATACCCAACCTGTTTCAACAGTTAATGAAACTGAAATCCAATTTAAAGAATTGTTGATAGAACCAAAAATGTGTCCCGGAAATGCCCTACCTCCTTGCCTATTTGCTGCAGTATTCCTAGAATTTCAGAGAACTCCGGTCTTAGAGTAGGATTTTGTTGCCAGCATTTCTGTAGCAGTTCTGCAAGCTTTGGATGGGTGTTCTTGGGAATTGTAGGCCGTAGACCCTGATAAACATGTTCACTAAAGTGAATTCTCATGCCCTGGTTAGAAAAATGTTCTTGTTGTTAATAGATAAAACTGAAAAGCGTTCATACCTGTTGTACCACACCAATTGCTGCTTGTATTGGTGTTAAGTACGAGTATGGAAGCTAGAATATCCAATCAGCACAAAGATTGTTAGGATGACAATAATAATCATAGCAATAATGAAAAACTTGAGGGGGGCTTACTTCTTTTGTCAGAAGCTCCCACAGCACGATTCCATAACTGAAAACATCAGCCTTGTGATCATATGGTTTGTGTTCAATGACCTTCATTTACATAAAAGCCATTTTAAGGACGACATTCTACTAAAATGTAGAAGATTCAGCACATAACGTTAATCATAAGCCTATTATCCAAACAATTTCCAAAAAATCTGTGAAATATGAAAAAGGAACTATCATATGGGATGGAGGGAGTATGTTGGAATGTAGGTACCGTTACCGAAATTCTGATATGTTGCAGTCTAAGCGGTACATTAGACTTGGAGGGACTGAATAGGTCTTATATATATTAATAAGAAAATCTAATTATTTTTAGTTAGTTATGCATTTGTATCCACCATTTTTCAAATTTAACCGTCATACACATAATCATGCATCCATAAAGGTAAAGTACTTTCTACTCCTTTTTGTTGAGTTATGGGGAGAAATTATAGATATTTAGAAGAGATTCAAGATTTTGTGTACTCCTTGAAAGTTTAGAGGTCTTTTTATACATTTTACTTATCAAAAAATAAATAAAAAAAATAAAGGTAAAGTAGAGCAAAGACACCTAAATTTTTTTTGTGGAAAATCCTAAACAGGAAAAATCACAGGATCTAATCCCAGTCAGGAACAATTTACCATATGAGAAAGAAGTTACAACTAGTTTAACAGTTCTCACACTCAAGATTCTTTAGTTACTTCTTGACACAGACTGAAGCCACTCCATGCCATCAACAGATTTCGCTCCTCTCAAATCTACTTTTCCAGTGGTTGTCCATCCTTCTCCACTCAATCACATAAAATGGTGTCTAAAGAAACCCAAGATTGACTAATTTGAAACTTCGCTATTTCTTCAAAGTTTTTCTCTCTAAATGGATTAGAGGCTTCGAAAGCATAACCTAGACTAACAATAAAACCATATTTATAGCCAATACAAATAGCCCATACGTTTTGGTATGTTAAAGCCTTGTAAAATTCTGTTTTGAGAGAGTTTTAAAAATATATATAGGTCTGAAGGTTTCGATTGATCGAGACTTCGACAAACATGTACCGGACAAGCTTTGGTAGACCAAGACATTGATCGAGGCATTATGGTTTTCAAGATATATTTTTTGCAAAACATTCGATCAATCAATTTTCCGACTAATGCTCTCAGGATTTCAGACCTGCAACTCAACTATTTGATTAACACTCGGGACTTCTCTCGACTGATTTGCTGAAGGGTTCGATTAACCGAGACTTCGACAAACACGTACCAGACAAGCTTTGGTAGACCGAGACATTGATCAAGGCATTATGGTTTTCAAGATATATATATATATATATATATATATATATATATATATATATATATATAAATATATTGCAAACACTCAGATCAATCAACCTTGTCACTAATGCTATCCGGATTTCAGACCTTCAACTCAAACATCCATTGATCAATCAACTATTTGATTAACACTCGGGACTTTTCTCCACCGATCAGCTTGATCAATCAACCAATCAATAGATGCATTCTGTTTTTCAATGAAAACGCAGTCTCCAAATATAATTGAATCCTCTACTCTTGTTCACTCTTCATGAATCTGCTTTTCCAATTGTTGTCCATCCTTCTGCTAAAAAATCCGAGGTTGAATTGAATCATCTCAATATACTGGAAGATTTCTCTTTGATAAATACTCAATCACATATAATGGTGCTAAAGAAACCCTAGATCCAATAATTGGAAAAGTCACTCTCTCCTCATCCTTGCCTTTGTCCCTATGGATGGGGTCAGCCAAATGAATTTTCTTTTTCCATTCTGTCCTATTATAAACCATTTCTCTTACAAAATTTAGTTTTTTTAAAATAATTTTTAATTACTTCATCCCATGTAAGTTTGGAGGCCTATTTGTTGCTTACCTTCTAGCAAACAACTCTTCCTCTTCTAACTGGTGCATCTTTGGCTTTATGTTGTATATGACCATACCACAAAGGCCTACTTTCTCTAATTTTATCATTAATAGGAGCTACTCCTAGCTTACCTCTTACCCGTTCATTACTATCTCTTCTAGTTACTCATATCATCCATTGTAGCATCCTCATTTCTGCTATATATAAAAACGTTGTACTTGTTTCCTGTCACTCTCTCTCAAAGATTTTTTCTATCGAGATGATTAGAGACATCAAAATCAAAACCTAGACCAATTATAATACCATATTTATAGCCAATATAGGCAGCCCATATGTTTTGGTAAGTTAAATCCTCTTGGAATTATGTTTTACGAGGGTTTCAAAAAGTATAGGTTCAAAGGGTTCAATTGATTGAGACTTCAATCAACACTCACTGGACAAGCTTTAATTGATTGAGGTATTTTGGATTTCAATATATTTTCCACAAATTTTGATTGATCGACCTTTCATTCATGCACTAAGGATTTAATACCTACAGCAGTCGATACTTCCAGAAATCAATCGATACACTGTTTTCAGTAAAATTACAGTTTTGAAATATGTTCGAATCCTTTACTTATGATTTGAGCCTCTCGATATGTGACTGAGGATGCAAATTTCTCGTCGTGTTCTTCACAAATCTCTGTTTGCCTTGTCTTTAAATCCTTTGTTTTATTTTATTTTTTAAAAAAGTCCCCTTCTCCTGAAAAAAGAGAATGGGAACGAAAATAAAGTAAAATAAAATAAAATAGAAAGAATTTAATTGCTACAGATTAAGAAAAGATCCCTTTGTGGTTTTACTCGAATGACTCGAGACACTTTCACACATTACAACTGATGTTTTAAGTAGGAAATTGCCAACAGCGACTCTTATTCCTAACAAATTACAAATAGTATTCCTAGCTGGATGAGAGTTATTTGTCTTTAGGTCTGAATAACAAAATGAGCTGAAATTCAGAGAAGATGATAAATATTTCAGAAATCAGACCACCAGTGATAATATTACTAGTTGATATACAGGCACACTTTACATTTCAGAATCTGCAGAGACAATAGGAAGTGGAGAGGTAGAAGAAAGGAACATTGACACTCACAACGCAAATTAGACACAGAATTTGAAAGATCAGAGAAGCTTAGGTCAGAAAAGTTTTTGTTCTTAATGGATGGGGTTAAATCATATAAGCTGTTCATAGAAGCAACAGCTGGCTCAAATTTGAGACCCTTGGAAGCCTTGAAATTAGACAGAAAAAGTACAGGTGAAAAGCGATTATCAAATGGTTTAACTATTAGCCATATCTCTAATCAGACCATAACTAAAATAGATGCAGTGCTAATCAAACAAATAGAAAGACCAAGGAATCAACAAACAAAGTAATTATGAGACTACAAAAGTAAGGTTGGTAACCCTACATTCCTTCACAAACGGCGAATGCAGAGAGCTTTTTAAGTAGACCATAGGTTTCTACGTGCCAGAAAATATTTGAAAAACATGGTACTCAGATTTTTGCATGGCAAATTAGATTTCTTTTAACAGCAAACTGTCGGTGATCAAATTGTTAACTTCTGACATTATGCGAACTTAAATTGAAAATCTGAAAATATAACAGTGTGTATGACATTGATCACGTGACAGCAGTAATGAAAATGAAGCCAGTGGCTAACAAGGCACATATTGATGCATTTAATGACTGGTAGATGCCAGTATACTCTCGAGTAAAACAAGCAAAGTTATCATAACTAAAGAGAGAGAAGAGGATAGCTTGTATTTCAACTTTTTTTTTCACTTGCGTTCATGCAATTTTTGAAAGTATGGCTGTGTGTAAAATTTCTTTGGGGACAAAGGCAAGGATGATGATTATAATGATGGCTGTGTGTAGAACATTAACGTAAACATACCTCGGGAGCCATCCAGCGGTATGTACCAGTTTCTGCAGTCATTACTCCAGATTGAACCTGCACTCTTGCAACTCCAAAATCAGCAACCTTGACAACCTGTCCAGGGAAGTAATCCGATTTCAAGAACGAAGAATGAAGCACAAACAAGTGGTAAGTAAAACAAAGCAACTAAATTGCACAGAAGAAACAAGATATGTCAACTCCCAAAATACTCAACCAACTTCAATTTTATTAAATTCTACCTTAAAGTGGGACGGATAACCAAATGAAACTATCAAAAACATGAACATGTCTCTTAAAAGCAACAAGAGAATAGAAAAAATATTAGAAAGTCCTTTTACAATGGGATGTCTTGTGTTTGAATAGCATGGTGGAAAGGAGGGTAGCTAGAGATGATTTCAAAGAGGTCATATGCCCTGAGAGGTTGAATGTCTATGTAGTAGACTGGATCTCGGCTCATTGTTAAACTTTCCCAATAACTTTCGGGAGTTAAATGCATGTCAATTCTTAAATTTAATCTGAAGAGTATTTGATTTAATATCTAATTGTGATTTATGCTCAATGGATGTACTGTCCCATTCCAGAGCAATTAAGCTGCATGGGTTTTTGACCTACTGCATTATAACTCTAATTCTTTAAAATGTTGAATTATGTTCACCTTCCTATTTGAACATAAGAAAACTGTCAAATCATGTCTATCTTGTAGTGGGTTTTGTAATTATTTGTTGCTTTCACATTTGGATCCCATAGCTGATTCTAAGAGATAATGATAATTCTGAAGTTGGGCTGACATTTATTCATTTTATCAAGTCTGATCAGAATGACCCATTAAATTCTAATTGTATCATTCAAGCTGTAGACTTGGTGCCAGACATTATCTGCATGCTACTTTTAGCTGCAGGAATTTTTTCTGATAACCAAAAAGTTTATACACATACGATAAACCCAAAGGCCAATAAGTAAAAATAGAACACCTGAGAAATACGAGATTCACAACATAAATTTTCTTTTCTTTTTCTCTATTTTTTTTTAGGCGTTCAGCAATTTACATATTTTGGTTGTCCTGTAATTATGATATTATCCAAACTGTTGCAATGAAGCAAAAAACTACTGATTTTAAATTTTTAGTGATTATCTGCAATGCATGACAGCAGAAAAAGTTAATGATGGGTGTTCACATTAAAAGCAAACTGATTTAGTTAATCTCTCCTCAGTGAATTATCCACTTCAATATGACTTCCGCATTATTTTGATGAATGTAACCCATCCGAGAACAGCAGAAGAAATTTAACCTGAAGCCACGGCTAAAATCGAAATGCAACTTTAACTCTAATAACACTATGCCTAAAAGAGGCAACATAAAACCAAACACCAAAAGATGCAGAAATTCAATGATCAGGTATACAACAAGAGCAACTGGTACTAGTGTCATGGTTGCTAGTATTATTATTTTTTTCATAACTTTCTTAGTATTAATTATTATTCTGCACCATTTACACACGAGAGATGAACATGTAGAGACACTCAAACCCTTCTTCAATTACCTTGTGGCAGAAAATGAAAAAATGAAAACTGAAATTATTATAGTACTAGGTATATATAATCAATATTGAAATACATGTTAAAAAAATAATAGGATTGCTATTGGAATATAAAGAAAATATGTTGACACACTGGAAAAATTCATTATATGGACATAAAATAAATACCATAAGAAAAAAACAATAATTGTAACAAGTAGAGAAGGAAAAATAAAAATGTGGACAGGGGAAACCAAACACCAGAAAAATTATATAACCACAATAAAAGTGGAAGAATATAATTGCAAGAATACAACAGAAATGAATGGACAGGTGATAAATAACAAACAATCAAGACAACATGGAAATAGATTATATCAACATGAAAGTGTAATTATAGCTAAGATTTGGAATTCGCATGTGATTGGAAATTTGGAATTCATCAGGAAAAAAAAAGAAGAGATGAGAAACTGAAAGGTAAAATTGCGGTTTGAATCAAATGCACAAAAACATGAAAGGGGCAGATAATGAATCAGTTGTGTATAACATTTAAAATTGCTTCTTACCTCATTTTCATCCATCAGAAGATTGGCAGTCTTCAAGTCCCTATGGATTATATTATTGTGGTGCAAATAGCTCATTCCCTTGGCAACATCAATCGCAAACTTGAGTACAGTAGGAAGCTTAAACACAGTGCTCGACTTATGCAGAAGGGTATAAACACTTCCTCTAGACATGAATTCTGATAAAACAGAAACATGACCATCAAAAAGTGAATCTTTTAATTTATATAGAAAATGAGATTATAACTAAATGCCCTACGGGGTTACAAAGTACTAAATTCAGAATACAGTACACATATCATAGGAGAGTTGGCATCATTTCGATAAACCTCATATCTAGCAACAGTGTAAGCAATATTTTTCCCTTCCAGTAATATAATTTACCTTATGTGATGAACATCATTAAAAGTAGCAGAAACTTCAAAATTCAATAGAGAGATCACAATATATGGCAGCATACGTATCTCAGTTTCATAGACTTACCAGTCACAATGCACAGTTTTTGGGGTCTGGTGCATGCGCCTATGAATTGAACGACATGCTTGTGCCGAATCTTCCTGCAAGAGCCAAAAGAAATCATGAGAAGATGTACTGTCAAGAGAAGTGGAACCAACATGAGCATGCTGCAATAGATTGTATCTACATGCACAAATCAAGGCACATTAGAGCCATTAAAGTCTTCTGAATATATGATTTATTATAATAAAACAGATAAATAAATCCAGTTCATAAGCATGAGTCCAAAATCAGAATCACATAACAAGGAGACCAAAGGCAATGACTAAAAACAGGCTACAAAGTTCTAGCTGACTTTCACAAGAAGCAGAATCAAGTCTGCCAGCACCAAACCCTTTGATGCTTGTTAGGAATAAAAATGCTAAAATTTCAGTCTATTGTATTGAAAAACTATCACATATAATTTCCATCATAAAAGAATCTTAATTTGAGCTTCTTTCAAGAAAGAATAATCTCCACCAAAAAACAGCCCCATCTTTTAAACTGCAGATAACCTAAATCTCCAATTAGGAAACTTCAAATCTACCTCAAATTGTCTATAAAACAATTGCACCTAACCCACAATGTTTGCATCTCAAGACACCGCCTCTTCAATTGAGCCCAGCCCGAAAGCCAGGCAAACTAATAAATCATGAAAAGAGTCTCCCTGATTTGATTTTACAGGTTTAAAGAAACGAGAATTTATGTACAGCATATGCCTTTATGCAACCATTAGGAACATGTAGAGGAAAAATCTTTGACCTGAATACATGACCATGGAATATTTTCCATCAGTAAACAACATGTTCTTTTTAGTATCTGTTTATCTTTCATAGCAAGGAATGAACTGCATCATAAAGGATAAAAAGAATTTTGGAAAGACCAACAAGTGTCACCTCCAGCTATAAGCATATAATCTAACAAACCTCATAATAAAGACTTCCTGAGAGAACTCTCTCAGCATATTTTCATTAACTTGCTCAGCCTTGAGGACTTTGATAGCCACTTCCTGATTACAATATGTGCCTTTATACCTGAAGAAGACAAAATGATATGATATATTGAGAACTTGAACACAATCAAAAAAGATTTGGAGTCATAGAACTTACAGATCACCAAATGATCCAGATCCAACTATTTGTTCAAATTTCAGCAGGCTGGCATCAATTTCCCAGACATCAGCCCCATCAGTAGGAATTTTTACATATTCAGGAAAGGATTCAGGATCTCTTTGGGTATGCTTGCTAATATCAGGCAACGAATGTTGGTTTGAACAAGATTGACCCTGCAGAAGGGTGACAAAGGAGGATCATGTACAGATAGATGCATATTCCATTTTTAATCAGTGGGATAAAAGAACTACGAAATCAGCATTCAGCAACATAATAGGAATATGACTAAGTTTACTAGATTTGGTAAAAAACCTAACACAATGGCATAACCTGGTATAAAAACTAAATATAATTACAAAAGCTTCAAGGAGGTTTAGAAGTGATTCAGCAAAAACAAGTAAAGAAACTGCTGAAAAACACAAGCTTCCACAAACAAAAATATTAATGAGTGAGAGCTATGGAGAGTAACCACCTTAGCCTTTAATATTTCCTTTTCCAGTGCAGTTCTCAGCTGCTCAGTTTCCTAGAAGTTTCCAACAAACAAGAATGTTAATAAGTGATGTGGAAGAGAGGAAAAGAGGAAGGTTAGGTAGTAGTGTCTGCCTTTATATTTTTAAAGAGGAAGAAAAGTTAAGAAGGCACTAAAACAAGGATGCTTCAGAGTTACTAGTATGAGTTGAAAAAGAACAGTATTATTGTCAGTTCCTTCCATAATGACATCAGACATTTCACTAATTCAAGAACGGAAAATACCAGACACACCAAAATAACATGTTAACAATCTAGGGTTCAGGAATGCTCACAATCACTTGCACATGGTTAATCTAAAATATTGGATCTTTCAACTTTTTTTTTCCAACAATAACCCAAAAAAATTCCTCAATGAAGAGTACATATGTGAACTCTAAATTAAGAGTCGCATACCCCAACTTCAAAAAAAAATTTATTTTAACATAAAAGGAAATTTTAAGATGAACAAAATGTAAAAGAGGAAATCAGCTTTTCCACCGTGGCGTGTGTACTTACAACTCATTTCGGCTATGTTACCCTAGTAAACAGGTATCTACCTACCATCATGAACATCACATCAATTTTTTACTCTGGACATAAAACGAAGATAGTCAAAAATATCTTCAAAATGTAGTTCAGGTACTGGTGTCCATACCTGAGTGCAATGCTCCAGATCAGCTATCCTGATCTTGAAGCATTACTGAGAAAAGCGGTAAGGAAAATAATATGATATCTAAAAATTTAAGGTGCTTTCTTTTCTTTTCTTTTCTTCTCAAAAGGGGAGTGAGAAGGAGCACTATTATACCCCAAAAAAAATTAAGGTGCTTTCTTATCTGAATTAAGACCATAAATAGATTAAAAATGAAACTATACATCGAACATCTGTCAAACAGAGGTCTAGATCACATGTAATCTAATAAAAATTAAATAATGCAAGCCACAAGATTAAACAATTAGTAATTGTTTCATAAATTGAAAGGAGTTAACAATCAGAAACTAAAATCAAGTTAGCAATGCATCAATGCCACATAGATCAATGCCGTATACTTCTCCACGTGATTGATGAGCATTTCTTATCCACATAATGATAAGATCATACCTCAAAAGGCCATCCATCAACAACAAAGACATCCAAGGAGAAGCCATCAACAGTAGAAAAAGCATGGGCTTCTTGAATGTTTAGTCCAATCTCGGACAGTAAGGAAGTCAACTGGAAAATTGATATAAGATAAATAATCACAATATTGAATGAGAAGCATCAGAATAGAATGACAGACATAGTCCTTATTTAACCACCAAGCATGACAGCAACGAATTATCCAGTCTTTCATATTGCCACTAGAAATCTAAATCAGTTACATTCAGGAAGTAAATAAAAGAATGCATGAAAAACATGGCATAATATTCTATCGTAAGAATCATTCACACATTATTCATTTTATCGTGCATGAAGTCTATGGTAGAGTAGTCAATCTGGTTCCATTCTGAACATTCAGGGCCAAACCAGATCAAAGATTTCCAATGTTCTACACCAGACAAAATTTCAGCAAGTTTGGGATTATTTTGGTTACTCCAGCAAATATATTATTAATATTATATTTTTCTCAATTCAAAGCAAATCTTCAAAACAAACCAAGTTATTAGCTGTTCCTCATTGGAGTGAGCTGGGTAGCCCAGTTGGTAGAGGCAATCCCCTGAATCGTGTGGGAGCCCATATTCAACTCACCTCATCCTCCCCCTCCCCCTCCTTGTCAAGTGAAAAAAAAAATATATTGTTGTTCCCCATTACCAAACATAGAGACAAGAATTAGAACTTCAAAAGGAGGCTTAGGAATTAAAGACTAAAACAATATCTGATAGGTGAAATTACAATTTTTCCATTTCTCTATTAAAAGCACAAGTTAAATGGACATAAACAATAACAGATGGGAGAGAAAGAAAGTAAGCAATACATGATACATTTGGGATTCAATTAAAAAATTTAGTCCAAAACTATTTCAGGATCCAGTTCTTTGTATCCCTGAGTCCTCCACGACGTTATCTCAAATATACATGATTTGTCCAAGAAGGGGGTACAAATACCGAACCTTTTGTTTAAAACCATTTTCTTTTGACTGCATGCAAAGCATCAACTACAGTAGAGAAAGAAAAAGTAATGAAAGAAAAGAAAAAAGAAATTGTATTATTGTATATTGACAGAAGAATGCAAGCGAAGAACATAATGCAGAGTTATATTATACCTACCGTAACAAATAAATGTCATCAACAGCTATAAGCATAGTGACTAATGTAAAATACTAGTGTAATATATTAGCTTTCTTTTTCATATAGATCTACAGGAGTTTAAATTGGGTTGAAGGCTGCAACTAATCAAATCCTCAGTTGCATGAGAAAAATAATGCAAATACGGATGTGAAATTTACTCTGCACTGGTGTCAGAAAATATTCGATAGAAAAAAAAATAAATAAATAAATAAAATAAAATAAAATTAGTCAACTACCTGACTAAGGAGTTTTGGTTTGTCAACTGTTGAAAAGGTGATCTCGTGCATAGGCCTGCATGATCGCCAATTTCAAAGTAAGACTGACGAATATTAAACATTGAATCCCAAACAAAAGAAAGTACAAAGTAGAGTATGTGAGTAGTGGAAAGAACTACTTAATAAGTAGTAGTCATTTTTTATCCAAAAATCATCTCTAGTGTACAAAATATGTTGTTTGAAAGGAGAATGAGAGGGCAGAAACATTCTTCTCTTTTATACTTTAAGACTACAGCTCATTACTCTCACTTATCATCATATTCATCTATGTAACAAAGTAAATGAGATAGAAACAGGGGGAAAAAAAAAAAGGACGGAAGGAAGAGAAAAAGACTGTAGATCATGCAAATAGATTCCAAAGTACAAAACAATTTAAACACTATTCCTAATTTCCTATGGGGAAAAAAAAAAAGGACGGAAGGAAGAGAAAAAGACTGTAGATCATGCAAATAGATTCCAAAGTACAAAACAATTTAAACACTATTCCTAATTTCCTATGACTATCTTTTACTCGAGCAATATTGACATGGAATTTGCTTTTCATCAAATAATGGAACTAACTAAGCACTTGAATGATAGTAAGGATAAGTCAATTACTCCTCAAATAAATCTGTCCAGTTTGCAGTGGTCTAACCTCTCGCACCAAGTGAGAGGAAGTGTGAAATAATTTGAAATTATTTAAACAAGAAAGGACAAAAATGTGCTCATTTACTTGTTGACAAATGGGTGGCATGAGTAAAGCACGCTCAAGGGCTAGTTAGAGGTACTACTAACAAGTTTTCACAAACTTGGATAGTTGTATTTTTAATCATTTAATTGAAACTCTCCATGATTTTGTATTGTAGCAGACAAGAATCAAGTTATTTACATGTTAAGAGAGGCATGCCATTTAGAGCAGTAAGAGACAGCTCAGGAGGAATCAGTCATTTCCGTGTTTTGACAGGCATGCTAGTTTAGAGTAGTAAGAAAAAGACAACTTATGAATGTCGGATCACAAACCATACTCCAGTCTTTTAATTCCTTTTCACAACATATATACCCCACTTTTTGTAATTTTAATATCAACTTTTTGGGCATTTCAAAATTAATGGCAGAAATTCTTTATTAAGCATCTCAGGATAGTTCACAAAATAATACTATAGGTCCCATAATAGTGAACAAAAGTATGGAAATTGATTTAAAAATCTAATTCCTTGGCAACCACATATGGACACAAGACACGGGTACAACACAATACGGACAACACGACAAATCTCAAAAAAATAGCGAACAGATTATGGAGTAGATGTGTCAAAAAATAATAATATAATATATTGTTTTGTACATAAAAAAATAATTTTTGCTCATGTCATCATTATAATCATGAATGAGATCACTAATTTGGAGCTTAGAGTTGAATTTTTCTATTTTTGTTTTCTAAATTTTTTATTAGCACATAATATATTTTAAATTGCATTGAATCCCATTCTTCTAAAAAAATAATTGCAAAACCACTCCGTCGCGTCCTGAAAATGTCCAAACACGTGTCCTTGCTATGTCCCAACCATGTCCAAGCAGAAAATAAAATACTTAAATTTCATGACACTTTTAGCTGTGTCCAACGAGTGCACGGGCTGTGTCCGACACGTATCCATGCATCCGACACCGCCATGGCATCCCAGGAGAAGTGTCTGTGCCTCCTAGATTAAACAACTCGGGATAGTTCCCATAATAATGCTATAGGTCCCTTGATAATAGTAACCAAAAATATGATAATTGACTTAAAAATCTAATTCCTTGGCAGCCTAATGATATTCATTAAATTTTTGTGAAATCCAAAAGAAAATTTTGAAGAAATTAATCATTTTTGCAATTTTCAATATTAAAGCACTCTAGAACTAGAACATATAAAAGCTATGAGATGAAGCAAATCATACATTAAACAGATATATATTAATTCAAACCACTTACAATCCTTATAATCTTCCTTCATGAACAACTACATCAGTCGCATGGTATCGTGCATATTAACTTTCCAAATATTTTGAAGTCTTGATATAATTATCTAAAACAGGAACATCGCTTGGAAAAACCAAGTAGCAGAACTTAAATAGAATATCAGAAAATCAGTGAACGACTTGATGAAAGTCATTCTAGCAGAACTCACTAAAGACCTTCCTTTAGAGAGATACTAAAATTTCCTTAACAGGTAGACTAACAACTCATGATAACGCAAAAATTTTCAAAGGCTTTTACCTGAAAATTTGTAAAGAGCCGTTAACAATGCTGTCCCCATCTTCAACATGAGACATGTTAACTTGAAGTGCAAGGGCTTCAAGATTAGGCGATGAACCAAATGTAGGTGGTGGATGGATTCTGGAACACACACACAGAGAGAGGCATAAATCATAATATAAGTTCAAGAAAAAGTTGCAAGGATATGAAGAAACAAAAGAAAAAATAAATACAAAGCAACCAATATTGATAGATGTTTCACAGCAAAATGAGATCAATATCATAAAAGTAGTAGTGTAAAAATCATACCCCTTTCTGGTAGAATTATTAGAATAACTTTGAGTATCTTCCTTAGATTCAGAATCCTTATTAGTAGAACCATTTGAATGCTCAAAAGAGGTGAAATGAACCTGTACCAAAAAATCAGATAAATAAAGCAAGAGACAGATCAAAGTGAAATGGATGAAACATTGGCGAATTTCCCACAAAAGAGGTCAGAAATTCAGATACCCTTTCTATAATATTATTTTAAAAAAAAATGGCATATAAAAAATTAAATTCCTAAAATGAGATTCGTATATTTTACCTCCCTTTTTCACTCATCTTTTCTCCTTACTTCACAACAAGTACGAATATTCTTTATATATGAATTTTACAACTGGAACTCATAAAATTTAATCATGTCTACTTCAACCCATGAATGAAAATAAATAGTCATTCAATTTTCACATAGTACCAGACTAAAATCCAAAAATAAAAGGTCCTTGACATAAGATCGTACAGGATTAAGGGTAGCCAATTTATGAGAAAAGGAAATGCTTAGAACGAAATCAAAGGTGATATGATTTTACCTGCACAAGCCGAACATCAAATGCAGGCCTATTAGCACGATCTTCTGCCAGATGCAATAACCTCTTATGAGTTAGCACATCTTCTGCCCTCTCCACATTCACGTCCAAAGCGTATCTGCGTATCGGCAATCAATCAGATTCAAATTTTCTTTTTCTTTTTCTCAGCAACCAAACGGAGACACAGAAAATTGGGATAGAAGTTAGGGCTGGAAGAGAGTTACCTAGAAGGGAGACGGTTGAAATGGAGCAAGAGCTGGTCTTCGAAACCAGGGAGATTGGCTTCGACGTGATCGATGTCTCGGAGGCGATTGAGCACGTCGTCGAACACTTGGAGTCTTCTCTCCCTGTCCGGTCCATTTCGGTGCTTCGGCTTCGACGACGATTGTGAGTCCACTGCTCTGCCACTGCAACTCTCGCTGTCTTCCAATGCCATTCACAGAACCCGACAACAAAAAATTAATCGATCAAAACAAACCCAGATCACAAATTCAATTCAGATTGGAATTTAGAACTTTTGCTCTAGAATTCAGAATTATCTCTGCAAGTGAAGGTGTCAACAGAAGGGCATTTGAGCATCGCAAAAGATTGGATAAAGATAGATAGATATATATATATATCTACGGAGAGAGAGAGAGAGAGAAAACGGTGGAGAATAAGAAGGATATGCAGATTTTAAGCTAGTTTGATTCGTTTTGTGCTTGCTGTATATGCCCTGACCTAGTTAGAGAGAGATATGCATGTTTATATATATATAAGTTAGGAATTTGGATAAGATACACACATACACAGACATATATATATATATAGAGAGAGAGAGAGAGGGAACAAAATGGTGGACTGAGGAGGACATGCAGACTTTGCGTTGGTTTGGTACTTTGGTTTCATGTTATGCTTGCTTTATAGTTCTGTGCCCCTGAGGTGACCTACTTTTGAAACGGTGGGTCCATTGTGAACACAATAAAGTCAGCTGCTTCCTACAAAACGAATTCGTGTAGCTTCATTTTGTCTCTACTATAGCATATTTTGTTGGAACCAGATGTATAGGGCTGTTTGGAATGTGTTGCGATATTGATTTTTAAATTTGGGTCTATAATATGTTTGATGGGATGACTGATATTGATTTCAAATAATTTATAACATAACATATTAAAATTTTTTTTTTTGGCCCACATAACTAAAGCAAATTTTTAAAATTTTCAAAACAAATTCTTGTTATCAAATATGGTTTCAATTTCAAATTAAGAAACACCAAATTGACTAAAACACACCACCTCCGTCCCAAATTAGAAGTCCTATTTAAGGGATCGTGAGTCACAATTTGTGAGTTACGATACCCCAAACAAGACATATTTTTTTAGGACGGAGGGAGTGACACATTTACTAACACATTTTTTAATCTTGCAACAGTTTTTTACGAACACATTTTTATGATTTTGCTTAAAAAAATTTGCAACAAATTTGACGTTACCAGGTATGCATCCAATTGCTATTGAACTTATAGAGAAAAAAAAGTTGTTTTCTGTTTCAAATGAATATAAAAACACAAAACAGAAACGATTTCAAATGGAACTTATTTCTATGAAAACGACTTCATATACTTATGGTAGCTTCATTTAATCTCTAACTTTTTTTTTTTTCTCAATTAATCTCTAATTTGTTTAAAGCATCTCCAATAGTATGTTAAAATATTCTTTTGTAAAATATTATTTTGTGTAAAATATACATTTACACGTACGATATGTAATTTTTTTTTATCTCCAGCAGTCTGTTAAGGTACACAAATGTATAAAATTGTTGTGTATTTTCCTTTCTCCTTCCTCTTTCTTATTCCATTAAAGAATTAACCCTATATTAAGTAGGTTTGTAAAAGTTATATAGATCCTGGCATGACGTGGTTGGTCGTTATTGAGAGATATATTTTTAAACAAAAGGTATAAAACAATCGTTGGAAGTAAAAATAAATAATTCAAATTTTTTGTGTAGATCAATCATGACACATCAGATTTATACAAATATATATATACAACGGTTGGAGATGCTCTTAATCGACCTTCAAGGTAAATTGAGGCTTACCAAATTAAAACACGAATCTCTATTGAGAGTTTTACCTCTCTTGGCTACCACTAATGAACAATTATTTTATCATTGATGCTATTAAGAAACTATTACTTTATCCTTATATTATTTAATATTTTTCATAAATTAAATTAAAAATATGGTATTACAAGGGAAATTTTGAATTTATGAAATTATAAATTTTTGATAGTAGCAAAAATTATTGTTGAGTGGTAAATGATGTTAAATAGAGGAGAAATTTTCAAAGGAGGAGAAGTTGGTGTAAATTTTCAGATAAGAAAAAAGATTTGTGTAATTATAACAATTTTCCAAAGGAAGTGAACTTATTTTAGTAAATTCTGGTTAGACTCAGAATTAGTCAAGTTAGAGACTTGCAGATAAGGTTAGACTGTGAAAACCTTTTTCTACTTTTGAATAAACCAACTAAAAAAATAATGAAAGGCCGTGCTATTCGTCAGTGACTTCCTATGTTTCAAATTAACCTACTATTCGTCAGTGACTTCCTAATTGCTAACCTAGTATTCCACCAGCAAAAATGATAACGAATTTGAGAGCGTAAAAGTGACAAAATTTAAATTATACATAATAAAAATGAAAGTAAGAGTGTGTACAGAGAGCGTGACTGCATGAAATAGCAATGTGTACAAAGAACGTGAGAACAACACCGATTGAGAAGAATTATGTGACTTAGTTAAAGAGATCAAGATCAATCTAACGGTAAATTTATTCTAATATTATGTTTGGGAGTACTAAATCAATGATTTAACCTAGCGTTAATCCAATGCACCAGAACATAACATAATTGTATTTTTATCGTATACAATATCTATATACATGTTTGTATTTACTATGTATATAGCCTAATGATATTTCTTTGGTCTTTCAAAATGAATGATGAAGGTTTGAATCTTGACACAAAATAAAACATTTGTGTCTGACAAGAAACAATTGGCATGGATTGAAAAAGAGTAACGTAATTCTCTATATATAGATTCATGCACGTATATATAATTGAATGAAAATAATAGAGTTCAATCGATAGCCATAGAAGAAGGTAGCTCCAAGTGAGTTGTATATTTCTTTATTTGTTTAATCTTGAGGACAACCAAGTGAATAAATTGAACTCTTTTTTTATGGTTTCAGATATATCTCTTTCTTTGAACCAATCCCAAAGGCTGAGGTGGAATTGACAGGATACAGATTTGGTTAGCGTTTTTTATGGGCTTAATTCGACTTTGTAAAGGGTGGTATTTTTAAAAAATAATAATAATAAAATAACATTGATAGAATTTCAAGAAGAGTTCGAGGACGCTGTGGCATAACATCCTGACTAAAGTTTGCAAGCATTTTGAGGATAAGGGCGTGTTTGACTAACAAAATCTGTTTAATAGAATAGTAAAAACTAAAAACTAAAGTATTTATGTACTTATATATAAAAATAAAGGGAACATATTTATGTACTGGTAATTATCATTGTATTGAATTAATGGGTCGTAGCATGAAACATTTGGAAGATTGATTGAGCAATGACTAAGAAGGAAAACTAAAGTGTTAGAAAATCAATTTGAATTCAGGAGACTAATGTAAATATGAAGAGAAGCAGTGACGGAGCCAGAAATTTAAATCGGTAGAGGCCATTCACCATATTAAGATGAGAAAATTGAACCAAAATGAGGGGTAGTTTTGAATATTGAAAGTTTTTTTTACGGTCTTTTGTGAATTCTTTAAGATTTCAATTGAGGCACTCTTATAATTATCAAAATTCGTGTATAAAAAAAAAAATAACAGAAACTTTAATAGCAAAGGAGGAGTTTTTTCTGGATTTTGATTCTTCATCATGAGCTATACTGAATTTTAAAAATCTTATTTGGGCAAATGATTTAAAAAATGAGGGATCTTTTGACCTTTGCAAGTTTTTATTAAGGTCTTTAATGAATGTTTTAAAAATTCAGAGCAGGCAATTTTAGAATTACCAAAAACTTTTTAGTAAAAAATACAAATAAATGACTATTCCTTGCCCTCACTGGTCCCAACCTAGCTCTGCCACTCCGTTCGGTAGGAAGGAAAAAAATTGAATGGAAGGGAGAGAAAAAATGATGGCTGAGATACCCTAGGGAAGAGATTAAGCGTTTCCTCTTGTTGTTCGGTTGAATGGAAGAGAATGGAAAAAACTGACAATTTAATTTGATATAAACCCATCCTTTACTTTATTATGGGATTTATTAAATATTTATAAAGGGTGATCTAGTAATTTAAAACTTTGGGTTAATTACAATGACACCCCTTAGGTTTGTCATAATAACAGTTATATATAAGTTGGGCTTTTTTTAAACAATGACACCCCCTGTCAGAAATTGCATCCAAACAGGCCCTTAAGAGGTGTGAAAAGTCAAAATTGCCCTTCAATATTTTATTAATTTAAATTAAAAAATAATCAAAACTCCTAAATGACGTTTTTGCCCTTGGTATATTATCAGTATACGTTACCACCTCTAACCTCTCACCTTCTCTAACCATAATCTCTCAAACCCTAACCCTAACAAACCTAACACATGCTCCCTCCATTAAACCCACCACCAAATACCTAGACCTCTCCACCCCTAAATCCCACACCACCGTTGTTGCCGCTGCCACCACCAAAAAATTCGTCATTGTTGAACCATTGGATCCCACCGCTGCTGCCACCAAAAAATCCGTCGTTGTTGAACTCTCAAGTCTGGCCACCGCCACCACCAAAAATACACGTTGTTGAACCCTCGAATCTGGCCGCCGCCGCCGCCTTAGATCTGGTCGCCGCCGCCGCCACCACCAAAAATCCGCGTCGTTGAACCCTCAGATCTGGCCGCCGCCGCCGCCACCACCAAAAATCCGCGTCGTTGAACCCTCAGATCTGGCCGCCGCCGCCGCCACCACCAAAAATCCGCATCGTTGAACCCTCAGATCTGGCCGCCGCTGCCGCCACCACCAAAAATCCGCGTTGTTGAACTCTCGAATCTGGCCACTGAATCGGGTGGGAATTTGGACGCATCAAATTGGGTCGTCATTGCCAAAGAGGGAGACGAGAGGCCTATCCCTATGATGGCCACATTCTTCTTAATTTGGATCATTCTCGTGCTTAGGGTGAAGGTTGTGGTGATGTTAACGCCACCTCCGCCTCGGCCTCGGCCATCGTCAAAGTCTAGGACCTTATATACATATATATATATATATATATATATATATATATATATATTGAAGATATGGTGTTTGAAACTGATGGTGTGTGTGTGTGTGTGTGTGTGTGTATGTGAGTGTATGTTGAAGATTTGGATTTTGAATAGTGAAGTGGTGGTGATGGTGGTGGTGGTAATGGACGGTATGGAGGATAAGGGAAATTTTTGGGTTTTGTTTTTATTTTTTTATTATACAAAGTTAGAAGGGTAATTTTATTATTTAAATGAGTTAATTGATAATTCAAAAGGGCAACAATGTAAATTCTTTAAGTGGCAGAGGTGGCAGGTGATAGTTAGGGTGCCTTTGTTAACTTTATTAAACTTGAGGGGTTGTTATTGTTAAAAAAAAACCCAACTTATATATGGTTGTCATTATGACAAGTCTCAGGGGGTGTTATTATAATTAACTCTAAAACTTTTATAATAGACTCACTTGTTTCTGTCTTATCATCCACCCATATTTAGGCGGATAAAAATTGGAGGAAGGATCATTCTTTCTATTATCATTTATTTCCTTATATTATCTCTACCGAATGAAGGAAATTTGTTCATTCCTTTCTATTTTCCTTCCACCCCTCTTCTTTCCTTCCTAGAACATAAGAGAAGAAAATATGTTTTTTATGTACATAAAGTATATGATAGTGTATGGTTCCTGAATTTTGTCATTTTCCAATTTCTGGAATTTTCTAATTTTCAGGGTATTTTTGTCTTTTTTTCATTTTGCGTGCCGGACATCGTTGGGTGTGCCGACTGTGTTCGAGAGTTGGATGGGACATTTCCTTGAGTTCAGGACTCTTGGAAATGCACCGGTTGTCATTTTGACTTTTCTCCGTTTTTCGGATCGGATAGTCTCGGGTGGGACCCGCTACCGGAATCATTGTGTACCGGAATTTTATTTTGGGTTTATTGCATACCATACGTAATTATTTTGTGCATATTTAATGTGGTTGTGTGCCATTTTGTATAGTTGTATGCACATGTGTGTGTGTGCAGTGGGAAATAGAAGGAAAAAGAAAAGTCAAAAAGAAAATTTTGTAGTGGGACCCACCATTAGAGATTTTGTGACCAAAAGACCAACATTGGCCTCATTCTCCTTCTCTCACCCGGCACTAGCTCTCTCTCCCTCTTTCCTCTTCATTTTTCTTTTCTTTTTGGCTTCAAGCTTCAATCTTCAATTATTTTTTCGTCTTTTGGAATTTTGGGTGCCGTTTGCGGCAAATCGAAGAGCTCGGCGAGATCTTCAAGTTGATGCAAGCAATTGCAACTTTGGTGTATCCTAGGAATTTCGAAAATTAGGACTTTGATTTGGAGTTTTGGGAGTTTTCATCTCCATTGAGGTAAAGGTGTTCTAATGCACGATTTCTTGTACTTTTGTGAGTTTATAACTTGAATTGATGTCTAGCACGTTCAATTAGTATAAATTCTTATAAAAATTACTTAATGATAGGTATAGATTATATGTGACTAATTGTTAGTTGTTTTATTGTATTTAAATATGTTTACATGAAGTTAAATCCATGTCTTATATGCTTGTTATGCAAAGTTGATGTTAAATAAGAATTTTAGTTATGTAGTTTAGAAATTTGCTTTATATAGCATGTGTGAGAGTTTTATGGTGAAATTGATGAATTTAAGTATGAAACATTCCATGCATTCATTGGGATAGCAAAAGGGGAAAAATGTCTTTAAAACAAGTGAAAATTGTTTTGGGAAAGGTTTTCTAAAAGTGTTTGCGAAAACCCGGACACCTAGGAGGCGCCTAGTGGTCCGTGGTGTTAGTGTAGTCTAGAGAGGAGTTTAGTTGAGCTAACCAGGCTGGATGCGACGCCTTGGAGGTGCCTTATGGTCGTGGATGGTTAGCCAATCCTCCTTTCGTGACGTCTTGGAGGTGCCTTGGGTTGGATTACACTAACGGTTTGAAAGTTGAAACGGAAATGTTTCAGACATGGGGAGTGACATTTGCATGGCATTGCACTTCATTAGAATATTTTATGTACGTGTTTGGGTAACAATTGTTATATACTTGTCGGCTGTAGCTGTTACCATATACCCCTATCTTATGATCCCGTTTTCTTTAATCTATTCTTTACGTGAATTCACGGGGTCACAAGAAGTGTGTCTTAGACACTTCCCACTGAGCGTTTAGCTCACCCCATATTTTTTTAACATTTTCAGGTTCGGGAAAAGAAGTGGCGGGCGACAATCCACAATCCACCACAGTTTTAGTTTGGATTAGAAGAATGTATCTTTTTGCTACCTTTTGTATTAGGCCTCATTTTGTAAAGTGTTGACCCAAAGTGTATCATTTTGCAGCATGTGAAGTATTTAGTTTCATTTTGTATATGGCCATTGGGGAAATGTAATTATGCTTATTTACACTAAATCATTTAATGTATTTTATGTAACGTGTTATAATATTATGTTAACATTGTTGTTGTTAATGTATTAAATGTTAAAATGTATTTAAATATGTACGTAAGCGTAGTGGCGGGTGTTTGGTTATCAATGTTGGTGTATCTCGGACAGTGAAAAATTTCGAGTTGGATAACCCAGAACCGATCGACGTCAGTCGACGTATAACTTCCCAAACCCGATATCTTGGCAGTGAGTTTTCCAATGTGCACGTCCCAAACCAGTTGACATGTGACTCCCCATACATCGACCGGTCCCGTGTAGTAAACATTTGTGACTTATTTTTCCATTTTGCCCTTGACTATTCACTCAAGTATATTCTTACACATCCAGTAAAATATAATAATTATATTTTAGCCATGGGAATGACTATATTGCCCTGACCTTTATCTTATTTATTATGTGATTCAAGTAAATAACTATTCTGCCCTTTGAATCTCAGACCATTAGAATTGTGATAAATGACCATCTTGTCCTTGTTGGACTTTAATATACAAATTTAACGTGAAATGATCATATTACCCTTGGATGATTTTGGGTCGGGTAAAGACTCGTTTAATGATTCGGACCCAATGGATTTGGGTCGTTATAGATAGAGTATATAAAGCTTTAGTACGGAGGGTTCTATAAAAAATAAAAATAATAAAAAGTCACAATAAAAGATTTGTGACCATGATCGGAATAACTATGGGAAAAATAAGTGAGTTTTAATTTAATGTAGTTTGGGTCGTTTGGTAATGTTTCTGTTTCATGTTTGTTATTTTTAAAAGGCCAAAAAATAGAAATAGGTAAGATAAATATGTTTGATAACTTTATTTCTATTTTTTAATTTTGAAAACATGTTCTCAAAAAGTCAAAATTTTAAGACCAAAAAATAGTTGTTTTCACTTGATCCCAGCCAAAACACGAAACATATTCTTAACTTATTTCTAACATATTCGTTTATATCTCTCCCCTCACTCTATTCTCTCTCCTCTCACTCTCTCTTATTTTTCTTTATGATCTCTGCGCGTCGTCTCTGCAAAGGACAACCCATACTCTATTCACTCTCTTCTTCTTCTTTATGATCCTTGCGTAAAAGATAACCATAAAAATTACAATCCTTATCTACTATCTAATTCAAAATGTATCTCTGTGTGTAAACTGAATTCCACGTAAAAAAAACATGTATTTCCATAACCGAATCAAAATCCATCCACATCATCGGGCCACAGTCCAAAAATACATTTATATTCTCGGCCCATATAATACCCATGCTATGTTGGATCCTTCTTTATAGCCCAAGTTCTATGTAAAACATTGATGATCCTCAGCCCAACTCAATTGCTAAAGCCACGTCATTATTCCTTCACTTGTAGCCCATCTATAAGTCCATGATCCAAACATCATCCACGGCCCAAATACCGAAATGGGTGTCAACATCCTGTAGATTGAAATTACAAAAACTTATAAAGACAACAAAGCCCCAATCCACTTCAATTCTCAGAAATTATTACTTCTTGTAATCTCGATGCATATATAGGTACAGATATGTAGAAGGATTGATGGTTACGTTTCTTGGACGCAGGTAAATATGGATTTCTCTTTTAATTGGTTACACTTTATTACTTTCTCTTGTTTTCATCATTCATTACTTAACTCAATTACCAACGCCCAATTCAAGAAATCCTAGCAGATAACTCAATTATTATTATATGTGAGGAATATATAAATTAATGGGATTTACATATTTTTATATGAATAATTTTTATTTTTTATTTTTGCTAAAAGCTTACCAAACATGTTTATAGTGTACCGATTATAAAATTCAAAGAAATAAATAAATGTTACCAAATACTTAACTATTTTTTAAAGATGCCAAAGAAATAGGAACAATTATAAATAAAAATAGAAAATAAGAAATATAAACGTGTTTCTAAACCACCTTTCTGACTATGCATGCATTTTCATGGAAGGGAGGTGGGTGAGTGGCATTGGACCCATAGAGTCTCTGTCCTTCCACTCCCATCTTTCTTTTAGTTGCAGTTTACACATTTTGTCCCGCTTCTACTTTTCATTAGGTAAAATAAGGAGTCACAGAGACTCCACATCCACCCAAAACTGGAATTTCTTCCTTAAAAGTTGTTACATGTGGTTTCCATTATTTGATTGTGGAATTGCCCCAAATCAGTCCCTGATTAGCATTTTTGTAAATAACGTGATGTTTGATTTTCTTTTGTTTTTACCAATTTAAAATTTAAGATGAAATAAATTTTAAATTGAGTTCTTCAAAATATTCCTCTTAGTAACAAATAAATTAAATTAACAAAATGACATTCTTTTATAATTTTTTTAAAATAAATGGTGACAATGACGGTGGTGAATGGTGGTAAGTGATAACGATGGTGGTGGTGGTGGAAAGCGGCAGTGGTGTAAATGGTGGTGGTGGTGGTGGTGGAAGGAAATGGTGGTGTAGGTGGCGGTGGTGGAAGACAATGGAGCTGACTGTGGTGGTGGTGGAAGGCAATGGAGTTGAAAGTGGGGAAAGGCGGCGGTGGTGGAAGGTGTTGGAAGTGGATGGTGGTGGCGGTGGCAGCCATGGTGGTGGCATTGGTGGAAATGGATGGTGGTGGCGGTGGTGGCCTGAAGGCGATGGTGATGGTGGCGGTGGTGGCCGGAAGGCGATGGCGATGGTGGTGAAAGGTTGTGGTGGCGGTAGTGGTGGAAGGTAATGGCTGTGATGGCGACGGCAGTAGTGGTGGTGGTTGCGGCAAAGGAAGTCGGTGTCAGTGGGCAATGGTGAAAGTTAGTGGCGGTGGTGGAAGGGGAGGAAGTGGTGGTGGTTGTGATGGTGAAAGGCGGAAGTGGTTGTGGTGGAAGGTAGTGGTGATTTTTAAACTTGGAACATGAAATTTTTTTGAGAATTAAATTTTTTAAAAAATTTTACTAGAAAATGAAATGGTCATTTCATAGGTTTAGTCCACCGATTTTCATTTCCATAAATGAATTTTAATTTCAATGGAATGACCATTCTCACTTTAAATTGCATACTAAACAAAGGAATAATTAGAATAGACATTCCATTCCTGTACACCAAACATAAAAGTACATAGAGTGATGTGGAGCTATAAAAATCTAAGATATTTTGGAGAAGTGTTTTAAAGAGGAGATTTTAGCCATTGATTGAAATCCATTCAAGAGTCTCATTTGTAACCAACAAGTACTCTAGAGTTAGGATCATGCAAGTGTGGAAGCATGTGTGAGTGTCAGACCGCATGCATTTTCTTCTATAGCTTATTTCAATTTGATAAGGTAAATGAAGTATAGTATCATCACATTATTCCTGCTCAAGTCCCTAATAACTCCGAAGTAAAATCAGCGCTAAATAGTCTTTGTACTTTGTACAATTTGTAAACTAAATGCCACTTCATAAATGAGTAGATGTGTGTGACATTGGATATGTTATGGGGACCATGTTCATTGGGGCACCAGGAACCATTCCCCCGGGAACTGGTGCTCTAACGCCGTATGCCATGTGTGACGGTGGTGGAAGATTCACCGGTGTGCCAACGGCCGAAACTAGGGGTGCTCCTATTGGTCCTATTGGTTGCCCGATAGTCGTTGCACCATACATGGCAATACCAGGCGGAGCAGCCGATACTTGAGGGTGTTTGTTTGATTTGCCAGATGAACCTCCTGCAGCATTTGCTTGACCGGTGATCGGCCCTTGGGGCACAGATATGTCTCCATTGTTTACGCTAGTGATATCATGAATGCTTGATCGCCTCCTGTCTTTGTTCATAGAGTTTAAACGAATGAAATACTTCTGAGCATGGCTTGCAACTTGTGTGGGAGTTCTTGTCACCACATAATTCCGCGATATACTTCGCCAATCACCCTTCCCATATTTATCCAAACCAAGAAGAAATAATCTGCATTGATGAAGGAGAGAAGGAAAAATTAAAAATGAAAAGACAAAATAGTGAGAAAAAAAAAAACACTACATTCACTTTTAAAAAAAAAAATAAAGATGCATGAACAAACCATAATCATAACGGCTCAGCATGTAATTGCTACTCACTCTGCCATCTATTTGGACTTTCGGTGGACAGAACCTTTTTTTTTCTCCCCCCGGAAATTTTAAAGATTCAAGACTGCATCTTTGCTTAGTGTGTGTATATACAATTAGACACACGCAACTTCCCTCTGCAATTATTCTTTAGTATATATAAAACTATGCATGAAAGTAATTTATTGTAAAATAAAAAAGTGTTGCTCTCATTATGTGGGGGACAAACAATTTTTTTCTAATAAATTACACAATATATGTATGTGTGTATATATATATATATATATTCACATAGAACTCTTTACAAAGTTTGGTCTTGATGATGGTGGACAGTGTATGTGTCGTCTATTATTTTAGTACCTTAGATACGTTTTCCTCAAGTACAGCAATGAGAACATCATTGCTTGCTGGTTACCAACAGGAAAGGAATAGATATTAAAATAGCTTTTGGCTGAGTGATAGGTGTTGCCCTGAGATGCATCAATCAATTGAGAAAAAGGGTTAGGTTCTTTTCTATAGAACTATCGAAGTATAGATAATAGTATGGCTGGAAATTGATTCATGAATGAAATTGAACTTTTTATGCCTCTGAGTTGTTATTCATCAGAAGCTCAGAAGGCCAAACATCAAGGAGGTGCTAAGCTTTACACTCAACTTCTACCACCTCATAAAATACAGGCTATCAACATAAGCCAACACTGCGGCATATGCTAAAAGCTGCCAATCCTGTCAACTCTAGGATAACCACATCCATTCCATACCCAAGTTTGCACACCCTCTCGACACCTTGAACCTTTCATACCTGGGCAACCTAATTGAACCAACTTATCCCATGGCCAAAGTAACATTTAAACTATCACCTAGACAGAGCTATTATACAAACTCGGCTAAATCTATTCCTCTGATGACAACAACCGGGCAAACCATTACTAATTTCATCCGTGAATATATGATCTGCTGCTTCAGCACCCCTAAAGTCATTTTCTTTGACAACGATACTCCCGCTGTCAATGCTTATATCCTGTTACAATGTGACACGCCCAAAATCCCACTCCTTACTGTCCCAAGGGTAATGGGCAAGCAAAAACCACAAATTATTATAAACAGATTTCGCGAAATTCCACAAATCTGGATACAACAATGTTGCCTTGCTCTTTACGCTTACAGAACCTCTAAGAGAGGACTTACTCAAATCACAGTCCTTTCTCACTCGTCTATGGCACTCAGGAAGTCCTAGTCAAGCACACAACTTGCTCCAGGGCCCAGGGGTGAGGTGCTCTAGATTCTAGACCTGCTGGAGCCTAGAGGTTCTCTGCTCTAAATTAACACCATGACAAGGTCCAAGCGGATCTTTGAACGTAATATTGACGCACTGGCCATGTGTACAACAAAATGGTCAGGTGGTCATGCTAATTTAAAGAGTTTGACTAGTTCTAAAAGCTGCTATCATGTTATCCAAGACACCTTGGCACCCAAGTTCACGGAAAAATATACAACTAAATGAGGTCCTTATGTTTTGAGTAAAGTCTATGACAGTGGGTGCAAAAAATTCTCAAAAGTAGGATATGATATATTATCTAACCTACCACTGCTCCATCGCCCAGGTGGTATGAGCTCTCCTCTTAAGGCGAGTGGTTCCAGCCCTACATGGGGCAATGTGGTGTGTAACCTAATTAGTGTTTTCTGGCTTTAGTTGTATGATCAGCATGAATAGAAGAACAAAAAAAAAATACAAGATTCTCCATCAGGGGCGACCTCGCAACCAATCTCCTTCCTCAACTGTGCCAGATTCCTCTCTATTACCGCACCATCAGCATCAAATCAAGCAGTCATAGGACGCATTCTACAGCTTTCTTTCTTGCTGCCTTTAGACAAGCCAAATACTTTGCATAGCTCAAGTTGCCTTTCATAAGGCAAGCATTATCAACCCAATCCAGTAAACTGTCGTTCCTCTTCAATTCGACTAGAGAAAATCCTAAATTAATCAATGTCTGTCGTGATCCATACTGAAATGGTATGATTTAAGCCCCAAGACAACTTAACCAAGGGTATAATAGTATTCTCTCTTAAACATAGGCTATATTACCAGAACTTGGGCACATTAATCGGCTATGAGTACATGTCTAAATGTAACATCCCTAAATTCCAAATCTTAGGATAAATGCAATCATATGGATCGCCAAATAAACCATCATTCATAAATGCATAGAGTTGTACTGGTCAACTTCAATTCAAACTTTGTCTGCCCACTTTACAGAAGCTTAAATCACTTTGAGCATATGCTATGATATAAATTGAATCCCTATATTGGGTAGGGGTGATAATAGACCTGGAAACACAATCTCCCGATACCCAAAAAGGAGAAAAAGAAGAAGATATTTGAAGAACAGAATTCACCTGATGCTAGCAATCAACACAGTATATCCTCTAAAAACCAAATTCACATATAAATGCTGATTACCTAATTCAAACAGCTAAGCAACAATGACCAGAAAGTGATCAATACAAACAGTATAATCAGATGATCAAATTGTACCATTGCTGATACTTATTAAAAATAATAATAAATAAATAAATAAAGAACCCAAGCTGATAAAGCCGGAAGGCCCGGAACACAGCACGAGCTGCATGACAGCCACTGGGAATATCTAATAGCAGTGAACAAGAAAACAAAATCCTTTTGTTATTAGTTCTTTCGTCAATTCCAGTAGAATGACTTCTATAAAGCAACAGTTCTATGTAGCAAAGAAATTTCGATTTTAAATCTTGCTAGGTTAAGGTGCTTATCATGAACGTAATTTGGCTAAAATATTGGAGATCCAGCTCTTATATCACAATTCATTCAATAAAATTTCCAAGTTGCACACCTAGTGTCCACAAATATCAGTACCCTTGTTAAAAAGTACACATAGCCACATGCTAGTGTACTCGATGCACAGTACTGTTCAAACACACGTATACATGCATACTTAGACCCAGTGCATATCTTTTGACATGCTGGAATAGAGTGCTGTGCGGGGGAATTGTTTTGAAGCCTGATTCATAATTTGTACGTAGTTTATGATCAGAGGAATCTATTCAAACAAATCTTAAACAAGTTTATACCATTTTCATCTATTATCCAAGTCTCAATAATAGTTCCAGTACCCCTACCCCCCCCCCAACACACACACACACAACAACAACAACAACAACAACAACACCAACATATATATGGTCTTATTAGGCCAAAGATTAATCCATCAAGCCTGATAGCTGAATCATATCTTGTAGTCAATACTAAAGCTTTCCATCACATCATTGAAAAATTAAAATCATCTATACTCAAATATAGTAGAACTTACAGAACTAACCACAAAATATAATATCGGATTGCTCCTCATCCAATATTAGGAATTTTGAAGACTCAATACACTTCAGGACTGAAAGAAATAATACTATGTGCAGCTTGACTGAAAAGAAAAAGGAGTGGGTAGATTAATGTCAACATGTAAGATGCTTACTTCAGTTCCCTCACTTAAGCAACCTTTTTATAGAACATCTAAAATGGGAACACTAGTAATACTAGGCTTCAAGATAAAAGAACAAAAATTAATTTAAAAGAGTCTTCAAAAGATTCCTTCCATCAGTAGGATCATGTGGGAAAAAGGAAGTTCTGATTTGGAGTTCATTAAAGGGAGAAAGATCAGATTCTCTCTCTCTTGGAAAAGAGTATGGAGAACTCCGGTAGCATAAAAGGAGGGAAGAGATGCAGATGATAGTTTATGTTAAGCCTAATGCCCTTAAAAGGGTTCTTGGAAGTGGAAGGATATTTTTTTTTGGGGAAAAACATGTAAAACTTAAGTTTTTTTACTGGTTGTCAGGCTCGACAGGCTACTGAATCACAAAAATCATTTCCAATCATAAATAATTTGATTAAACACCCTAACCTTCTTAATACCTGTCACCCATGCTTCTCTTTTGTGGCTAAGGTCCCCACACTTCACCAACTCCACTGAGTCAAACTTAGATTCCTTAGCAAGGGCACCCCACAAGAACTCCCTGGGGAGCTTTTCGAGCCTCTCTTATAAATATCTGATACATAAACTCTCACTTGAACATTACAGTAAAACACTTTAGGTTTTTGTGTTTGATATCAAATTGCAGGTGCAGATGTTTATACGACCACCCTTTATCTACCAACAAAGATTAAAATTTAAGCCGATGGAATGACAAGTTTTCACCAATATTCCATGACCTATTAAGAAAAGCCTTTTCAACATAACTCAACACGATTAAGAACCTAAGCTGATGGAATGACAAGCCTTTCACCAATAATCCATGACATCCTATTAAGAAAAGTTACATCAACTCAGCAGAAAGGTTTGCCTTCTGCTGCTGAGTTGTTTATGTTGATGTCATGCAGAAGCAGACAAACCTTTCAAATAAATGTTATGATAGAAGTGTTATTATAGATTGTGGTATTAACAAATCTTTGCTACATAATTTTCCTCTTAATTATTATTCTATATATAAAACACATTCCTCATTTGGGTATTTTAAATTTTTAACGCAATAATAGATGATGCAAATGCTTTACATAAGCACCATTTTTATGTGCAAAGAAAGGTAAAATTTTAAACCTAGCACTACCTCTTCCTGAACATGAAACAAATTCGGCTTCTACTAGAACAAACGAAAAGCAAACAAAAAAGAATTATACACACACACACACACACACATATATCCTCCTAGAGCTTGCAGGAACAAGCAAAAGCATATAACTATACTTCATGCTTTGGATGTAAAACCTCTACAAAATTAAGTGCACTCCTAAGTCAAAGGAGTCAGACCTCTTGTCAAGGTTTAAAACATCAAATTCATCCTCAAATAGCGCAGCTCCACTAAGACCACTTCTCACATAATCAACTACTACTCTATGCTATTTCAACTATCTTCTGAAATCTGAATCTACGGATCCTAAAATAGTAGAAAGTAATTTTCTGGGGGTGTTACTGGTGTCCATACTTCGAAATTTTTATGCAAAGGGAAGTTGCAAGACATGACATCCTATCAAGAAGTCAACTCTCTACTTTCCCAATTCCTAACCCGATCTCCCTTGATTTCTGAGCGGTGGGGGTCAAACAAATAAGAAAATTAAATAAGGAAATGCAAAACAGAAAACTTTCTTTTCTGAAGCCAAAGAATCCTCATGTTGAGAAACCTAGACCACTGATATGATTTCCTATTCCCTAGTGTAGATATTTCACGTCATACTGCTAACTATGGCTGTAACCCTGAGAATAGCAAAATTCTAGAAAACATAGATAAAAAACACCCCCCTATAAATAAAAAAGGAGCAGATGGCATTCTGCTCTAGTAGACTAGTAGCATAATGCATGATCAACAAATTATGTGAGATTCCAAGATGAACATAAGAAGGCCTTAACTCAAACTGTTGCTACAACATGCATTGGTGAAGCCATGACCTACAAATAATAAAAGAAATAAGTAGGATCTGCGAAAGACTAGGAACCAATAACCTTTTAATAGACAGATCTTCTTTTTCTGACACAAGTATGGCACGTGAAATGATTTCTCTTTCACGGATACACGTCTTATGCACATCATTTGTCTCACCTAAGCCAAATCAATTCAGATTATATTATTACTTCTAGGCTTCTTGACTGATTACTAATTGTTAGATCACACTAATGATTTGGCAGAAATATCATAGCAGACACATTTTGTAGAGGAATGCTGTGCAGAATATCAAGTTTAATGCAACTTAAAAAAAATTAATTAACCGTGGTTGAATTATTTGAAGCAGACATATACATATACACGAGCTGTGAGTCACAATCAGTTCTTATGACAAGAATCCACACAGTAAGGCCTATTAAGAAAACACATAATATATATACAACTGACATCAGAGCATAAAATTTAGTTATTAAGTTAAAATAAGATCAACTAATCACTAAAGTAAAGAAACAATAACTAATGCAAACATGCTCTTTTGTTTCTAAATAGATGGCATCTATATGGAAAAAATAAAGGGAATTGCAATGAAAAATTCACCTGTGCTCATCCTCTGTCCAAGCAATCCCTTTGCGGCGCTCCTGATCTGACCTTGAAGCCTTGGCTCCATGGTTTGAATCGCCGTTAAAATGCCCAAAATGGTTACCCTTCTTCCCAGTTCCTTCGTCACTAGCATGGCTTGTCGAACCACTGGAACAAGAAGTATAACTAGGCAGTGGCACACAGCCAGACTCGATCTGGTAAACGTCATCAACTAAAAGCTCATAGTGATGTTTAATTTCTTCTAAAGTCTTCCCCGGAACATCCTCCGCAATTTTCTCCCACCGATCAGAAGAATCCTCCGGATAAGTTGCCAGGGCATTCTCAAATGCCTTGTCCTGCTCTCTACTCCATTCGGACCTGTTGGCCGATTCGTCAGCCATGCTTTAGCCTTAATTGAAGCTCTTGTAGTTTGTTTCACACACAGGAAGAGCTAGAAAAGAAATCTAGCAGGCTACAAAAAATCTAGGCTAAAATACACACCCCACAAATACAGAGTTCTCTAGAATATTTCTTGAAATTGGGAGCTGAATTATTTCTGTATGAGGGGTATCAGTAACAACTGGATGATTGGTAGGCTGGAATTATGGGAAACAGATGTGTCAGAGTAGAGAGTGAGCAAGAACAGAAACAAAAAAACAGAAACAGACCCCAAAAATAGCAAAGTGAGCCGCACTAGTGATTTCATCCAATAAATATCATAAAGAAAAGAGGAGAAAATGATGAAATTCAAAGGAGATTTGCTCCATAACTCAAAAAATTGGACACTAGTGAAATGCTGACCCTACTGATGAAGAAAAGTAACAAGATCAGTTAGAGCATGGGAAATATCTGAAAACCATAAAATTAAAAGTTGCAATAAATGGCAATTTGGAACAAGAAAAATAAGAGAAATTAATGGCGACGGTGAATTCAATTCTGTAGTAATTAGGGTTTTGATATGTGAGATGTGAAAGAGACCGTAATGAAAACCTAAGAAAGACCCAGAAGCCTTAATTGGATAAAGAACCCCATTTCTGATTGTAACAAAAACCCAATAACCAAAAGCCCTTGCTGATAGCAACAGTTTTGACAGCACAGCCCCAGGGAAACATACAAACACATACACACACACACACATATTACATCCTTACTGCATTAAACCTCAGTTTTACAGTTTATTCTGAGGCCTCCTACTTTTATTCTTTGCAGATAGTAAAAACACCAGTAGCTACAAGTCTCCTCAATAGGGTGTCAGAAAATGTTGTCAAATTCAAGCTTAAAGAAACTCCAAAGGCCAAAGCACATGGGATTGTACTAGAACCAATCTACCTACTTAAGGTGTCATCCTCATACAGTAATAATCCAAAAAAAAACCCTTAAAATTTCTTCAGATTTGGTAAAAAAAAAATAAGCATCTTTTCAAGAGTACAAGTTTTAACAATGAAAAGCTTAAACCCAATAATGAAATTGTACTTTCCAACTAGAATCAGGAAAAACCCAACTCAATACACCTTTCTTAATGAACAAAACATTTATCCTTGTAATAATAAAAAAACTATATAAAAAAAAATTCTCAATGGTTGCATGTTTATATTTTCTCGGCAGCAACACAAGAACAGTAATGAACAAAAACAGTATGACCACTCAGTAAAGTTTAGGGCTCACAACCAAAGATAGTGAAAAGGGGATAACCCTCAACCATTGATTGTGAAAACCCACCTCTTAGATTCCTTTTCCCCACTGTTTAACCCTCTGAGAGTGACTGCAATAAAACTATACAAAGCACCATAAATAAGAAAGATTACCTAGAGCTCATGGTACTAACACTTTCAAGATTATGATAGTTCACCCAACTTTTTTCTTCATTTTATTGACAGATTATATAAGCAAGTACTCAGAAAACGAACCTCGAGTTCTCAGCAACTACCATTAATTGTCTCTGACAATCTGTGGATTTTTAAATAGAGAGAGACGAGAATAGAGAGAACGGCTCAAATTAGTCATTATACATTTGTACTTTGTATAATTTGCTGCGAAATCCTTGCATACATTACCGAAAAAAAAACACGCAACAAGTCACAAACATTATCATGTGCAAATCATAACTCACTAGACAACAAATAGTACTGAAAACTATTTTTTTTTTTTTCATACAAATCTCTTCCCGTAACTTTTTTTTCCCGTGATTTCTATTTATAACTTCTATCACGTTTACTTTATAAAGTTTTACCACTTTCAACAATAAATTTCATCACATTAAACTTTCCATTTTAAATTTTAAAAAATAAACAATAAATTTCAACCATTTTTATGATTTTCAAACCACCTAGAAAATGTACATATTTCTATTAAGATAAGAAAAATTGCTGATTGTATCGTGTAATATCTAATCATTTATTAGTGTGTGTAATACATAGACGGTCCAGATGCGTTCGTTGCATTATACAATAGGCATAACCAAGTTTTCCTCATCCCTATCGAATATTGACCACTTTCAAATACAACCAGGTAATTTTGTTAAAAAAAAAATAGAACTCATGTAATCTAAACTATATTATAGGTTATTTAGTAATATAATATAAAATTAAAAAAAATAAAAATAATAAAATAGCAAAAATTAGTGATTTATGATTTATATAGATAAAATAGCAAAAATTATGTAATCTAAAATATATTAGTGATTTACGATTTATATAGATAAAATAGCAAAAAAATATATCCATGTCGTACTCGTGTCTTTATTTTATATTCGTATTGTTTTATATTCATATTTAGTATTTGTATTTGTATTAGTTCGTTTTAGCACACAAAACAAATTTTACTATTTTTTAAAATTAAAAAATAATAATAATAAATTTTATTATTTTTTAGACGAATACGACTTCCCTTGTTATTCTTATTTTGTTACCTAGAAATCTTGAAAAGATTATTTTATCCATAAAAACACATATTTTATGTTAAAAATAATAAAACTACAATGAGAATAGGGGAAGATAGTGTTATATATTTGAAATTATATGACAAATTTATGTTATTTAGGTAATTTATTAGAAAAAGCAAGTGTAATTATTTTTAAAATTTATTATTAATTTATTGTAAGTAGTGAATTTAAAGGTGATGGCAAATTTTTTTCTTTAGGTGATATTGATTGCTTATCCTGAAATATCAGCAGCCCACAAAACATGAGAGGATGGGTCACTGGGTGGGTCGGTCCCAACTAAGCAAGTTGCAAAGAGGTGAGTAGGACAGCTCGAATGATGATGATTTCTAAACAAGCCCCAAACTAGAATCTCTGCAAAGAAAAGACTCGTTAATATCTCAAATTTAAAAGCATCTAGAAAGAGTGAGAAACTGTAGGTAGAGAGAGATAAATTGTAGGTAGAGAGAGAAACTGTAGGTCTGGACAACGACAGAACAATCTGCCGTTGCAGGAATTTACAAAGTAAAAAATAAAAAAATAAAGGGAAAAAGTCATTTACCAATGTTTGTATGTGAATCATCATCACCTTTCTGCAAGGATCAGTATGAAATCATGATGCAGGTTTCAACCACTTATTTTATTTGATTTTTACTTGGTTCCGGAATATACTAAGTACTGTCAACCGCCGGGGTTTAGAGATTGACAAATATCAATGTCCTCCGTCCGTTACTATAGATGTTCTTTATGGAAAGTTTTAGGACATGTAATTATTATGTTATCTCTTTTAAAAATTATAAAATTATTCTTTCAAGTTTAAATATATATATAATTAAGTTTGAAATTTTTTAAAATTTTAAAAATATTTTATGAAAAGATGTAAAATATGTTTGTTTAAATTTAATAAGTAAATAAGTATTTTAGAATAACTCAAAAAAAAAAGATGAACAACTACTATGAAACGGAGGGAGTATAAAATATGATGTCCCTATCCGGACGTAAATTCTCTCCTTTGCACCTCTCACTGAAAAAGTAAATGTGCTGAGTTGGCATTGTAAGTAAAATAGTATTTATTATCAAATATATTATATATGTAATTTATACATCATCTTTACACTTTCGAAAAAATAAAATAAAAAAATACATCATCTTTACACGTCGAATTATTACATCTTTATACACCATATTATTAGATTTCTCTATTTAATAGAGTTTGAGTTTCAATATTCAATTTCCCCTAAAAATAAAAAAAATCCTTTCTCCCCAAAACTCTGCTATATATACGGAGGCTCAAAATCAAACAAAAAGATCTCTCTCTGAAATTTGAAATATATTTGATGGTCTATCTCTGATCCAAACTCAACCTCATCCAGGATCATTTGTACCGATTTAGACAAGGCAACCAAGAGAGTTTCTTCCACATAAACTCTGCAATAACCAAGAGAGTTTCTCCCACAAATTATCCAGCGAAGAAGTTGAACTGAGGACATACAAACAAGCAAAAGGATATCCCTCTTCAAAGAAGGTCTGTGTTGAAACTGTAGACGTCTGTTTTGAAACAAACAAAAGAGATCTATTTGGGAAAATCGCTATATATTCCGGCGAGAAGCTAAAATTTCCGAGAATGAGAGATTCCCTGAAAAAACAACATACATTCTGGCAAGAAGCTGAAGCTCCAATCATTATAAGTAGGGTAAAGTACAAAAAAAACCCCTTCAACTATGTATGAATTTGCAAATAACCCCCTTGAACTATATTTTATGCATAAAATCTCCTAAACTATCTCATTTTGTTACAACATACCCCAAAGACTATACTATATTTCATTAAATGACCATAATGCCCATTCTTATTGAATTATATTTAATATATATTTCTTATCTAAATAAATTATGAAAAAATTCATACTAATTTGGTAAGATATTTTTCATTAAATTTGCATAAATTTACCTTTAATTTTTTTAATTAATTATTTAAATAAAAAATTTTAGTAGAATTTTTTTAAAAAAATTAATTAATTTTTTAATTTTTAATGAATATATTACATGAAAAGAAGGTATTTTTTTCAAAAGTATTTTATTAATTTTTCATCAATATATTGAATGAAAAAAATGATATTTTTTACGATAAAAATGTTTAAATTGGTTATAATACGTTTTATTATAATAATAAGTATTTAATAATAAGTTAATCAATTTAGAAAATGATAGTGACAAATCTATTTATCTATTTTGTTTTTCATTTTTATGATAAATTGATACTAAAAATAAAATTAAGATAAATAGTATAATTAATATTTACATAAGAGAAAAGGTAATAAAAATAATTTAAAAAGAAATGAAATTTTTAATGAGAAAGGGTAAAATAGTCTTTTGTGATTGATTTATCCTTAATTGCAACAAATCAATAGTTCAAGGGGGCAGTTTTTAGTTCATGGTGGTTATTTGCAAAAGGGCAATAGTTTAGGAGGGTTTTTTTGCACTTAACCCTTAAAAGTATTAGGTTGTGATTTTGAATTTGTTGTAATTTTATTCAAAATGATATATCAAAGTTTATCTTATATGTGCGGCAATCCAATGGTGACTATTGGCAATCAAAAATTTTGAAAGCTGGGTTATTAGTCCTAATGAGTATCAAATCATGTGTAACACCAAAATTTAAAGCTTGGTTTACTTTTTTTGGAGGCAACCCAAGATTTGGTTTGTTTATTCTTGTGCATATGTTATGTTGATATTTATCTATTTTAGCCTTGTTCAAATAACTTTATTTGTAAATGAACTCTATTACATTTCAGTTTTTATAAAATGTTAGGATTGTATATGCATATCCTGAATATTGCAGGGATTGTATATTATGTTTGATTCGAGAATTATATTCCGAATGAAACATTTAACATGTTATGTAGAGAATCAGTTAGGATTGTATACTCATATCCTAAATATTGTAAGGATTGTAGATTCAAAATTATAATCCGATTGAAACATTAATACTCTTATGTAGAAAATCAATTAATGTAGTTGACAAATATTATTACCCTTTTTCAATATTTTATGGCATTTGATTTAAATATTGGCACATGTTAGAAAATGATTGCATGTATGGATATGCAATCAATCATTGGAGATTAAGCTTCCACGACCCT